CTGTGTCTCTGAGGTGGTGAGACAGTCACTGTGGTCTCACATGTGCATCCTGTCTCCAGGTGAGACTTCGTGTTAACGTCCAGCTTCTTCATCTGTGGAGGAATAATGGAGCTGGCGTACGTCTGTGAGTGGGACAGACGTCAGAGGAGCACTCACTGTCCGTCCATCCCTCTGGTCTGTTCCTGGTCCTGCAGGAACCTGGTGGCCTTCACCACAGACCTGAAGAACGACGACGACGACAAAGGTACTCACCTGCAGCACAGACATGACATCATCATCTCGCACATTAATGATCACACATTAATCCTTTCCGTGTGTCTGTGTTACAGATGTCAGTCACATGATCCACATCATGGACACTGAACACCCGTGGGACATTTATTCAATCAACTCTGGACACACTGAGGTCATTTCCTGTCTGGAGTGGGACCAATCAGGTGAGGTCTTGGCTGATGAGGAAGTATAGACTTGTCTCTGTTCCACATGTCTTGATGTATTGAATGGTGTGTGTGTGTGTTGAGGCTCGAGGCTGCTGTCGGCCGACGGTGACGGTCAGATTAAATGCTGGTCGATGTCAGATCACCTGGTGAACAGCTGGGAGAGCGTCCTGTCCAGCTCTCTGGATGGAGATCCAATCGTGGCTCTGAGCTGGCTTCATAACGGCGTCAAACTGGCGCTGCACGTCGAGATGGTAACAACTTATAGAATCAAGTAGAGATATATGTAACATACATGTCAATCAGGGAATAACGCATCAGTGAGGTCCAAGGTCAAATGACTCATGTTCTTGTGTCTTACTGCTTCAGTCGGGCTCGACAAACTTCGGTGAGAAGTTCTCTCGGGTGAAGTTCTCTCCGTCTCTGACTCTGTTTGGCGGGAAGCCGATGGAGGGCTGGTTGGCTGTGACAGTGAGCGGATTAGTCACGGTGTCGCTGTTGAAGCCAGGTGACGCTCTGTTGACGGCCAGCGAGAGTCTGTGCCGGCTAAGAGGTCGGGTGGCGTTGGCTGACATCGCTTTCACTGGAGGAGGGAACATTGTGGTGGCGGCGACCGACGGCAGTAGCTCGTCTCCCGTTCAGTTCTACAAGGTCTGAACCAGGACTCGCTTTTTTATCCATTACACTGTCGTCAATTAACCGGGTTCATAACCGTTCACGTGTCCTGTGTTCAGGTGGTGGTGAGCGTGGTCAGTGAGAAGTGTCGCATCGACACTGAACTGTTACCGTCGCTGTTCCTGCGCTGCACCACCGACCCCCTGAGAAGAGAGAAGTACCCGGCTGTGACCCACCTTAAGTTCCTGACCCGAGAGAACTCTGAACAGGTAACTAGTTCAACCAGGGACAACTAGTTTAAACCGAGATAACTACTTTAACCTGAGAGAACTATTTATTTATTCATTTTTATAGCATCAAATCATAACATACATTCTGTCGAGGTTCTTTACATGTTAAAGAAAGAGCAGCTCCGACGACTCAGAGAGGAAAACTGTGTGTGTGTGTGTGTGTGTAGCTGAAAAAAAAGCATTCAATCGCAATGTCCCTTCTCGGGTTAAATAAAATGGTTGGCTGGTCTGGGAGTATGTCTAGATATACCACATGGCTCTCTTCAAAAGATGCAAGCATCATATGCAAATCAAAACTCGTAATTTAGTCATCTAAACATGGCACTGGTTTTTGTTAGGTTGCTACGCACGGGTCCTTTATCTAAAAC